AAGTAGAGGAGACCTTAGCGAAGTATGAAGGCAAACTGAGTTATGAATGTGTACAGGATATGAAATTCTTAGATTTGTGTGTTATGGGTACATTTCACTAACAGCAAAAATATTAGTAGTTAGTAGTTATTATGATAAAAATTATTTTTAGAAACTGTACGTAAATATCCTGGATTACCCATATTAAATCGTGAGTGTACAGAAGATTATCAAATACCAAATTCAAAAATGGTCATTAAAAAAGGAACTGGAATAATTATTTCTCTATTTGGTATACATCGTGATCCAGAGTATTTTCCTGATCCATTGCGATATGATCCAGAACGGTTTCTAGAAGAAAATATGAACTACAATCCTGTCGCTTATATGCCTTTCGGCGAAGGACCTCGTCATTGCATTGGTAAGTAGTAATGAGTTTTTTTTTTGAAATTTATATGTATGTAAGTACTAAACTTTAATATATTTTTAATTTTTTTAGCTCAACGCATGGGTAAATTAAATGCCAAAGTAGCCCTAGCTCAAATTATTACAAATTTTGATATTAAAATAAGAGAAAAACCTTCCGAAATTGAAATCGATAATTATGGTGTACCTTTAGTTGCTAAAGGTGGTATAAATGTAAGTTTATCAAAAAAAATAAAAACAAAATAATTTTGTAAATACATTTAAATTAAATTTCTGTTATTTTTCTGTATTTCTGTTAAATTTCTGTAATATATTTTCGTTTAAATAAAAGATAAGAATAGTAAAACATCGGTATTTTTGTTTCTTCATAATAGCTTTTATCTTAAACCAAGTAACTTTTAAAGGTGTTAACTCACAGTTATTCACCCAAATTCTATTTATTTATAATACTCCGCTTAAAGTTTTTTCAATTATTGTTACGAATCAATATAGAAATTTTGTATACATATATTTTTATATGAACTCCGCAAATGTAAGATGACTAAATTCAACTTTTCTCTATTTACAATAGTAACAACCATATGAATGTAAATATGGTATCGGATTTGTAATCTGAACTCTCGGAAACCTATCCTTTGACGTGAGTTTCAAGTTAACTTGTCAAAATAATTTCGAAAAATATAGTGGCAATACATTACAAAGACCATATACACCAGATGAGGTTGTGAGTAAACCATCAACATATGTAGATGGTAACTACTATATATCCATATTTAAACCAATTAGTCTCACTGTTAGTAGTGATAGGTATAATAAAACTGTAAAATATTTTTCGGTAAAAATTTAATAAATAGTTTTGATAAAAGTAATGATCTTTCTTTTTCATAGATTTTAAGAACTCTCAACATTTATTTTGTTTAATTAAGGTTCATAAATTGAAATTAAAATCAAAATTAATAAATTCATTATTTAAAGCTAAAAACAATTTAATATCTAATAATATTGAAAATAATAAGCAATATTACAAGTTCTCGCCATATATTTATTTGAATTTTAGATCACTAATGCTCAATGAGTAAATTTGTTCTTGTCTCAGACATAATCCATATTAAAAATAAATCAAACGCTGAACCAGGTATACTTGACCTTTTAACCTTTTAGTTTCATATTAATTACGTCAAAATGTTCACAGAGAAAATAGAAGAATAGGCTAAACCATCACATTTTATATACCACAAAGAATATAGAGGGCTTTTAAAACTTCCGACAAATGCCATAAAACTGAAACTTCTATAGAAATCACAATTTCTGAAAAAGTCACTTTATGGTAACAATTTTGAGAAGTTGCTTTCCGAGATACTATATACATAACGACTACATAGCCTCAACCGGTAAATTAAGTTTTGGATATAATTTTATTATCCGAAAATTGTTAACGTTAAGCTCAGAATTATGCAAGATATTTATATAAAAAAAAAACTATTTTACAAGATCTTATGAAATTTAAAAATATTATCTATAAACTACAAGTACATGCAATATTAAGATTTCTAATCTTATTATTTTGATGTTTATTTAATATACGAAAAGTGTGCTGTAGGTAAAAATTTGTTAAGTCATTTTCTATATTGATAACGAATAAAGTAATTATTTATAAAATTAAAAAAAATAATAAAAATAATTTAATTTGATGGATTGCGAAATTTTAAATTAAAGCTCTTAACTTAATTAGTAACTTAACTCAAAAGAATATAGTATTATTGAAGAAACTTCTTTTAATTGTTTAAAGAAAGTCGAAATGTTAAGGCGTGAAACCGTTAAAAGACATCATATTTTCGTCATACCGCTATATATCTCTAAACAAATATTTATATCCCTTTGTTTCCACTTCAACTTTATTGATATGAGATGCACAATTAGCAAGTAATGTAAATAAGAAATTTTCATGAAATTAATTTGTATGTAGATAATTTATTTAGCGTTATTCAAGTCTTAATTATCATGTACTGACTATATTAACCTCTTTATGTTAATTTCTTCTCTATGCCTACATTGGCAAGTGGGTAGACAATATTTCTTTACAGGGTTCCTTAACGATACACAATTATCGACTATGGATGCTGTTTTACTCACTATTTAGTTAATGACTAAAATAATATGCTAACATGATCTATTGTAATAGACACTTCCTTGAAGCGTATTAGAAATATAGTCATTATTAGATTATACAGTGGAATATTAATACCTCGAATTTCAAGGGAAATGCTAGAAATTTAGCAAATCAATGAGTTTAACAAAAATTTTGATACATTTAAATCTTAACATTTTGACCTATAGAAGCATAATTTCTATGTACATTTTTTTCTAATTGTAAAGTCACATTTAAATGAACGCAAGATTTATGATAGATATTTATTAAAACAAATTATGTAGCAGTAGCAGAGGTGAGGCGTCGAATGGTTCAGAGTGTTTACTGAACACCTTAACAAAGCTTCCTTTTTAGATTTTTTTTTTATTAGGTAAATAATCTCGCTATTTTGCTATTTAACATCTTTTATAATAGCTTTTCCAAACATATTAACATAAACACAAAACGTATAATACAAACAAAATCACACATACAAATGTTAGTTACACCCAACATTACTTATAATTAATAAAAGAGAAAACACATTTCTCTTGAAATATACTAAGGTGCAGAATAAAAACTGCACCGCGTTGCTTACAAAGCATGCAAATGAAATAACATTCACATTGGGACTATGTTCAATATTGAATACACAACACAAAACATACAAACAAATATATGTACGTGAAATAATCTTAACTCTTAAATTAATGCGTGCAAGCGGTTCAATAAAAAAGTGCACTCCCAATGTTATGCAAAGTAAATACAAAAGAGAAAAGAAATGACTGAGCGAAAATCGCTTTACATTTGACGAGAGGATCATTCCACTAAACTGAACCAAAAGTTTATACAAAGCGTGCAAATACAATCAAAGTCACGGTTGCTGTTTTATATGGGCAAATGGTTCAGTATAAAAACTGAACCGGGCATTGTAAATACAAAGTAAAAGAGTAAATGAATGCATGAGAGTTTCTTACTCTTATATAGAGGTTGGAAATAAATCAAAACAAAGTCATTATTGCAATTTTATACTAGAAAATGGTAAAAGTAAAGAAAGAGATTAAAGAAATTTGAAGTGAAAAATAATATTTAGAAATGGATATATATGTGATTAAAGATTTGATTCAAATATCTTTTTTTAAACGATATTCTGAAAAAAAGATTTTAATTCATAAAATGAATAGACCAATAGACAAATATGAAGAATTTCATACCTGATGTAAAAATGTCGAAAACTGTGGTAAGTCGCTGTTTTTCTACAGCTACAGCTTTATGGTAAATAAAAACCAGTGGATCACAGGCTGCGAATATTTAAATAAATTGTTTTGTTGGTCTTGTACGCTATTTGCTTGTGGAAAGACAAAACTCAGGAGTAGGGGGAATTCTGTTTTGATTAAATTGTGAACACCTTGCCAAAAAGCTGACGCCTCGCTACTGAGCAGTAGTATTAGTGTAGATATATATAGATATCATTATATTTTACTAACTTCGACTATGGAGTCTATGTATATATACTATAAATACCTACTAGGAAATTCTATTTTTTCCAGTTACTAAGTCTAATTAAGTATTTAGAGACTCAGCAAAAAGGAATGACAATTTTTTGTAACTTACAGAATTACAACTTGACGGGATTCTAGTTATCGAGATTCTACTGTACTTTTAAACATTCTTTATTAAAAATAAACATATCCAGCTTTACGGAAAACTTCATTTTACTATATCCTGAGTAGTAAAAATGTGAAACCACATTTTTGATGTGAAAACAAGTATGGTAATTAAAGTGGTATCCTACCAAAATTCGTTGTTTTGACCTAAACGAATAGTTTGGTAGATAAAGTGAAAGATGATTTTGTTAATTTTTATCGGTGTAATAATAATCAATATAAGGTAGGGAGAAGCTAAATATTTTTATATAGTTCTGAGAAAGTATCGTCTATAACCTGAAAGGTTTTCTAACAAATTGATTTTAGACAATATATTAAAGTATTATCTTATTTGTTACCTCCTCTTATATCTCTATTACTAAATGTCCGATATGAAAAAATAATTTTCAAAAGACAATATCATAACTTATAAGCTAAGGTCTATTATTAATTCAACAACTCCAGAATATAATAACTTGTCAAAAACTAATGTGACGACATATTTATTATAGTAACAATCTTATTGGATTTTTGCAGTTTGTCTTCATTTTTGTTACCAAATGTTTAGTAACGACAATCCATCTATCGACAATCCATATTCAAAATAAGTTATGTCTGTAGAAGTTTTGTGGAGATATTATCAAAAGAGAGATTTATAATTGGTGGTTTTGGACTGAAAATGATATACCTACAAGCTTAATGCATGTGTGGCGTATTGGATTACTCGTAGAATCTAGAATCGATAACAAACAGTGGTTGATTTTTTTTACCTTTCATTAAAACAGGTATTATTCCAAATATATCCTACTAAAGGAATATTGAAAGTATTATGTTATAGTCGTGAGACTTCTGGTAACTCTAGTCCTTCTTATCTTAAGAATAATATTTTGCTTGGTAGGTAGAACAATAAGAACAAATTAAAATTCCACATTCATTATAATAAACTTTCTGCAGCTTTTTCTTTAGATTTTTTCGCTCATTGATATAGTTTATTAGTAATGTATTATTAATTCTATATTGTAGCTTTTAGTACCTTATTGATGAAAAGTATCACCGAAAGACCAAGCTATAAATTATAAGATAATTATAGACTTGCAAACGATTAAAAAAAATAACGATATAAAATTATATTAAAAATAATCATGATCTTTCTAGACACTATTGTATAAAAAGACATCCGTAAATATTTTTTTAAATTATTGTAAAATATTTGTTCCGCAGTTTAGCTTTTGATCTAAAATCAAATTTTATAGACATTTTAGACATATTTAGAGACATTATAGATGCTGGATCAGATTTAAATTTAACTATAGTTAGAACAGACACGAAGAATCATGATATCCGGTAGCAAAAATTTTTACTGTTTTTGTACAAATATTTTAAAACATATACAAGTGTAACTAGATATATATGAAACAGTTTTGGTCTACTACTACTCTGTCTAGATATCTGTTCAATCCACCATTATCTGCTTTTATTCTATTATTGGAGAGATTGAGAAAATTTAAATCCTACTCTATAATCTATTATATGATTTATGATGTGATTAATTACTGCTTTTAAGATACAGATAGAAATAGACCTCTGCTTTTATGTAAATAAATTTGAGGAGATATTTCAACTTGTAAATTATTTTTTAATATTAGATGATTCCATATTACTAGTACGATTTATTACTTATGTTCAAATTCTGATATCAAGTGCTATTCTTTTATAATATTATTATTATATTGTTTATATTATATATAATATTATATATATAATATAATATATAATAATAATGATGAAAGTTATGCACTAAATTTTTAAGAGTGTATTACAATTATTTAAAAAATCAAAAATAATCAAAGATTACCTAAACGATTAATAACAACGATTATAGAGACACTTCAAAATATTAAGATTTGTAATCATACTAATTAAATATATTTTAGAGATAGTAGAAGTTCAAGTGGCTTTTTGTGTAAATTTGCCGTAATGTTTTTTTGCGACAGCAAATTTAGTAAATAGTATAAGAAAAGATTAAATACAATCTGATAGACAATCAATTCTATAAACACATGTTCCTTGTTGCTATAATTTAAAACTATCTGTCCATGTCGCTACCTATGGAAGTACATTGACGAAATTTGTTTTAGTCTCTAAGAAATAGTCGAAGTGTTTAGAAGTCAGTTCTGGACTATTTTGAATTTTCAAAAAAAATTTAAAATGTTGTTGTTATTACTATTAACAGCAGCTGCTCTCGTAGTTATCTACTTTAAATGGAATTTTGCACATTGGCAACGCAGAGGTTTTCCTTACATCAAAGCAACAATACCTTTTGGCGTATTGCAATCCGTTGTTAAACGTCAACGTTCTTTTGGAATGGCAATATATGATGCCTACCAAAGTTCAAAGGAAAAAGTTGTAGGGATTTATTTATTAACTCGTCCGGCTTTGCTGATTCGAGATGCACAATTAGCGCGCGATGTGCTGAGCAAGGACTTCAATAGTTTTCATGATCGTGGCGTTTATGTGAATGAAGAGAAGGATCCCATGTCAGGTGGTTTGTTTTTCTTAAAGGGATCGAAGTGGAAGATTTTGCGCTCAAAATTAATGCCTTCTTTTACTTCGGGGAAATTGAGAGGCATGTTTGGTACCATAGAGGAAACATCATATAGAATGATTAATTATTTGAACAATATTTTACCTGATAATGGATCTGCTGAAGTGGAATTAAAAAATCTTTTTTCAACGTAAGGTTTCATGTAATCAATGTGATGCTTATTAGCAATTATCAATTTAATTTTTAATCGTAGATATGCAATTGATATAATTGCTTCAGTTATATTTGGTTTAGAGACAAATAGTTTCAAAGAACCGAACAATGTATTCCGAAATGTAAGCTACAAAACTAGTGAGCCGACTTATAAAAGTGTTTTTAGAGGTACATGCCAATTTTTATACCCAAGGTGAGAGAGACTATTAGCTTAAATATAACTATTATAAATCAAAAATATAATTTCCAATTTCAGTTTAGAAAAGTTTTTTGTTATGTTGGGTTGGACTGAGGAAGCACCAGAAACAATGAAGAAAATCGTACGAAAAACTGTTGAACACAGAGAAAAAAATAATGTAAGTCGGCGAGATATGCTACAATTATTACTACAACTCCGCAATACTGGCAAGATAAATACTGACGATAATGAATGGTCCGTAGAAACATCAGTAGGTAAATATTACTTTTTTTACTATACATTTTAGGGAAGAAACATTTTTTGTTATATTCTTTATATAGGTGCTTTTAAATCTATGTCTGTGGAATTGATAGCTGCACAATTGTTCCTGTTCTATGTGGCTGGTTATGAGACAACAGCATCCACAGTTGCTTTTACAATTTACGAACTATCACAATATCCGGAACTCTTAGCAAAAGCGAAAAAGGATGTGGAGGAAACATTACGCAAGTATGAAGGCAAACTGAGTTATGAATGTGTACAGGATATGAAATTCTTAGATTTGTGTGTTATGGGTAAATTTAACTTCAAGTTAATATAATTTTAGTCAGAACTAAATAGTATAATAAATATTTGTAGAAACTATACGTAAATATCCTGGATTACCCATATTAAATCGTGAATGTACAGAGGACTATCAAATACCGGATTCAAAAATGGTTATTAAAAAAGGCACAGCGATAATAATCTCATTATTCGGCATGCATCGTGATCCAGAGTATTTTCCTGATCCAATGAGGTATGATCCAGAACGGTTTCTAGAGGAAAATATGAACTATAATTCTGTCGCTTACATGCCTTTTGGTGAGGGACCACGTCACTGTATAGGTGAGTAGTAAACCGTTTTTATAAACGTTCACAAATGTTCATATTTATTACATAAAACGATTTTTTGATTTTAGCTCAACGCATGGGCAGACTTAATGCAAAAGTAGCCATAGCTCAAATATTAACTAATTTTGATATCGAATTACGGGAAAATTACTGCGAAATAGAAATCGATAATTTTGGTATACCAATTCTCCCTAAAGGTGGAGTAAATGTACGTTTATCGAAAAAAAAACAGAATACAGTAACAAAAGTTTAATTAAATATTCTTCGTTGAGGTATAAGTCGAATACTTTTATTGATTTATGCATTATCAGCACAAGGTAGTAGAATGATTATATGATAAGAGATAGATATTTTTTTGTTCATAATTAATATTATCTGATAGAATTTTAATGAAATATTAATAAAAGACTATCAAATAGATTAATACCAATTGTTTCAAAGAAATTACAGTTATGTTAATAAGCACGATGTGTTAGTATAATTTTATACAAATAAGCTATGTGGGATATATATATATACAAACTATAGAATTTTACATAATTTTTGAAGAGGTCAAAACAACAATTAGTTAAGTGAACAGAAAGCGATGAAAACCGTCCTAAGAGGCTAAAGGTTAAAGCCTTGTTTTCACTTAATTTTAAATAACAATCATAATTGACTGGTGTGTCAAATGAAATGTCATCATATGACTACCTGTTTTCATTATACTGCCAATATTTGACAGTGAAAATAACATAGAGAAAATGTGGCATAACACACGCCATCGAGATCTGCGCTCTTGTCAACTTTACTAAATGGTTAAAGGAAGCCTATATCTGTATCTACATTGATAGTCAATCAGTAATTAAAGTATTAACCTCTTGAATGTTCATTTTGAGAATATTGCAGAATTACTAAACAAAAGTATGGAAAATCTTGTAAGAACTAGATCTCGGTCATATCATTATATGCAGCGCAGCGTTATAGTAAATTGGCCCGCAAATAATTCGGCGTCTATACTACCTAGAGTTTGACAAGATTTTTTATATTCGAAATCGAATACATAATAGGTTCGAATTTTACTGCGAACAAAAATTTGTATATATAGGTTAAAAATTGAGAGTGCGGACAAAAATCTTACCTATGTCCAGCCAATGTAGACACAATCTTGGCATTCAATATCAAACAAAGTGTAGCCAGATATACGTATACGCATTATAATTAGTATTTAAGTACCTTGTCATTTTAATGAGCAGTGAGTAGGTTTTGGTAATAATTTAGTTAAGTGTATACTGATTTTAATGACTTCTATCTTGGTAAAACTAATACTAATCGTATTATTTCAATTTTTAAGGTTGTAGATCAATGACATATGGGTTAGTAATGAATTAATTATAAAAATGAAATAAATTACATGTTTTATCTATATTTCTAAACATCATCTAATAGGTCTCAAATAGTCTGGGTCTCAAACGTAATTTTATGAGTATTCCAACAAGTACGATCTGAACGGAATTTTCTAATCCCATACTATTAAGTATTGATTAAGATGTTATTGAACAATATTTACGGTTCAACCAAAAACTATCACTTTATATGCCCTGCGCTAAGGCACAAATAGAATAAACTTGTGTATACCCTTACGGAAGAGGCAATAAAACTCTGTAAAGTAGCTTCCATATTACTTTCTATTGACACAACAGGGCTTAGAGACCTGCTCTAATCATAGAAGGGGCATAAGAGATCTGACGGTCGCATTTCCACATTCCTTAGCAATAATAATAATAATAATTATTATTATTATTTCATATACCACATATCAATTTATATATACAGTATACATACGAACATATAACAATTATTCGCACTTTAAAGCAACTACATTATGATTTTGAAGGTAATTCTTTTCAAAGGTAATTCTTACTCGTTATGCGTATGAGATTTAAGCTCCATGCATGCATGTTCCTTTTCGAGATTACAGTAATCTACGTAATTTTTTTGAGCTTTTGTTGCACATGAACTTTTTGAATGGAGTGGAATACAATATGAAGCTTCTTATATTAGTTGTTGTCATTATTGTTGCAAATGACGGCACTTGCAACATAATTACTTTTTGTGCTTAAGTGGGCGACTTTCCGGGGAGTTGTAATTGTGCCCACTAGCATTTCATAGACTGTCACAAGCACGAGATATGAGTATTAAAACAGTACGTCAACATCATTGTTCGTGAGACGTAATCACTGAAATGCATTCAAAGTAAAAGTCACACACAATACTTGCTCATTGACTTATGTGTGCAGTGCATTATGACGCTGACGCTGTAAGATAATGGAAGAGATTCATCATATGCTGGCTGGAGGGGCTTAAGTGTGAGTGCCATAGTTAAAGTTACAAAAGATTTCATGAAACATGAGTTAATCGTTTTTAACTGAACTTACTTTGTTTTTTGTGAAATATTGAGAATGATTTAAATTTATTTTTCAAATATTTTTTAGGCTTGACCATTTTATATATTTTTTTAATTCAATTAAATCAAATAAATTTTAAAAATTTTTATTAAATAATTTATTATTATTATTGTTACAAAACAAAACTATTAAATAATATTTTAATAAAATTAAACCTCACGGAGACGACGCACTTCACTTTCAAATAAACCGTTTCAAACTATTCATTTTTGAAAATTATTTAATGATAAATGCGATAAAATGAATATTTTTAATTAAAATTATTTATTTATTTTACATAAAAATTTGGACTCGAGTATACGTACGTGTTTCAGGTGGTAAATGTTTAATAAAGTTTTTAATTTTATATGCAGAGCACACTTTCCGGCAATACGTATGAGCAAAGGTGGCCATACCTTCTGGAACAGTGGTAACTGTTAACGGACTTTTTTGCTATCAGTAATAAATTACATATTTTTCAACTACATATTATATTATTTATGAAACAGTTTATAGTAATTGAGAAACTTTTTCACGTACATATACTGAATTTAAGTAGGAAGATACAGACTTGTCTCAAATTATTGAATTATCAATTTATCAAATTGGGTTGTCAAAATTAATGATATTGGGTGGTCTGGAAAAACTTGTGTACTGTACTATTATATATAAAAACAGTTCTTACGTACGCACCTGAAATATATAACGAATATATTCCATATATTTTGCAAGGAAGAGTACCGCTGACCTGTGGTTCACTATTTCTTGATAGCGAACTCTTTTCGTAGTTTCCATGACAATTCTGACCATTAACCTGGTGAAGTGTCGGTTCACATCATTATTATTATTGTTATATTGGAGGAATTGCACAGAGAGTTAGAAATTGTAATCTTTAAGATGTCGTAATCTTTATAAAATTAAATTTCCTCTATTAATTGTAATATTGAACCAACATTACAGACTCTTATTTCATATCCAATAGGATATGCCCACCTTTCGCTTAGGCACTAGTAACGGGCAAACTTTCAGAATGTATTTTGAGGTCTCATATAAAAAAAATTTGTTTCAATATTTAGTGAATTGATATGTTATGGGAATTTACTAGTTCGACATTCGTTGAACGGATTTGCGTCTACTAAAATTATAGAAGAAAAAGTGACTGAGGTACTAAACTTAAAAATCGAAAATATTTCGAATAGATTGGTTGACTCAATTACCTATAGCTACCACGAACTTTATGGGCTTTATTACGGCTTTGAACTAACTCAGCTATTTAACATTTTCGCTTCGCTGGATTGGTTATGTCGTGAAAATGGATGAATAGGCTCGAGTTAAGTGATATTTGAACCGGTAATGATTCATAGAAGCAATTCTTACACAGTCGTAAGTCTAATTTAAACGAAAGCATTTGCTAAAGATTTTTTAATTAATCAGGAACGAAAGTTAGACTTGAATTCGATCAGATATTGCCAAAACGGTCTCAGCTACTTTTATAGCTCTCTCAGTTGCTTACCAGGAAAACAAAGCATTTGAGTTTCAGTGGAAGTATGACTGGAATTGACGGATGGGCACCAACAAGAGTGGAGCCTGCGGCTTAATTTGACTCAAAATGGAAAATCTTACAAGGTTGGAACATAAGTGTCTAATATAGATTTAAAGCTCTCTCGAATCTATGGATGGTTGTGCATGGTCGTTCATAGTTTGTGAAGTGATTTGTCTGGTTAATTCCCAAAACAAAATGAGTGAAAATGGTCAAGTGAAAAGGTGTTTGAAGTGATAGTTAAAAGCACAAGGCGTAGAGTTATACCACGTCTTCAGTGCAGTGATCAAGTTGAGGGAGCACTAATCGTACTTGACGTACGAGACTATTTAAGTAAGTGAGTAACTCTATCTCAAGAAAACATATATATGTATTGTATGCTTAAAAATTGAATTTAAAGTTTATTTCATTATTTCATTTATGTGAGAAAGACATAAGGCAATTGAACTTGAACTGGCTAGTTATTTCATTTTTTCAAATTATATTTACTCAAAATGTTCAGTTTAGTCAAACTTTTTTTTACTGATAATATTAAATTATCTCCACGTACCAAACAAATTACAGTTTAAATCTGAATTAGTTATGTGACGTCATGTTTCATTGATAAATAATATTGAGTAGGAATTTCTTTAATACAACATAAAATATAAAGAAAAAAATAAACAAATTTCGCCAGAATTTAGTTTTTTTTTTGGAAAGGAAAAGATTATTTCCTCATTTTTTTTTTCTTTCACTTCTAAGTTTCTTAATTACTTGTAAGAGACTTTCGGAAATGTGTAAAATAAACTGTGAACTAATAAGTTAATGACTCATATACACAATTCCAGACATTAATAACCAAATCCAAGAAGGCGAAAAAATCGAATTCTTAACCAAGTGTGGGTCATTGTTTCAGATACTTTCTGGTCGAAATGAAAAATAAAAGAAAATCGTACAACTAACAGAACTCATTAATACAAAATCGTACTGGGAGAAAGAAAAATTTTTTTTTTTTTTAAATCATGCGAATTTTATATTTACCGTTTGCAGTTGTTTATACCTCAGATTGTATATATGCAATAAACACATATACATGATTTATTTATATACTTAAAGAGCTTATAAGAAAGACTGGACGTTCTTTCTTGAGTAACTTAATATTTTCGTGTTAAGCAAGCGGCAAGCGTTGCCTTATAGTTACACTCGTATTTGAATTGCAAGTCATTTTGGGTTAATAACATTAAATAATAAATTCAGATACTAAGTAGATACTATATTAAGTAGATACTTAGCGATGCAGTGCGCTTTTTAGAGTTTTGCATCAGTTGCTACATTTTTTTTACAATTTAAAGAAAAAACTATTTGTGCAGCAAAATTTCAAAATGCGGAGAAATTACACTTTAAAAAATTGCATGTCAAAATTGTTTTAACACACAGAAGCATAAAACTTAA